AAATCTCATTCTTACTTTTAGAGATATTAAACATTGTTCAGACCTTGTTATAGAGGTTTTATTCACATTTTAACATTACCTAGAGTGCATGATGTCACAGCTAGAGTGGAGGACAGCTTGAAATTCGCATTCATATATTTTTTTTAAACTGCCATAATTCCCAAACCCTACATTCCTGAGACATAATTTATCATGACAAACGTAGGAAAACATCTCGTAGCTTGAAAAATGACAAATAATTAAACAAAATGCCTCTTGAGGGCATGAAGTGACAAAAACTTTCAAAATTCCTCCATTAAAGCCCATTGTAATTTCAGGCAGATATTTCCTCACGGTAGCAGCACACCTTTAGTTAAACTGCCAAAAGTGCCACATTATTAACCCGAAACTACACAAAAATTACACTTCAGATACTCAACTTCCTTGACATGCTTCACGTTTTGAAATTTCACAGATATCTGTTACGGTTCTTCAACAAAACGTTCACATGTAAGAGGTTCATCTCTCATTCAGAACAATGGAAACCTGTGATCTCTGCAGAGCTCGTTAGCTCAACTATAAACACATGTGTAATGGAACACGATGATGTCATCACTCCAGCTGACATGCTCAGAGCAGCAGACTTCAGATAGCAGTGTGCTAACAGTCCAGCCGAGAAGACATCTACGGGACAGTTTTGAGATTTCTTCAAATGCCGTTGCCATGGCAACACAATGCTCACCATGAAACACGGCTATAACTTCAGTGAAACTGCTCCAAACGCCCCAAAAATTCACAGGTTTGGTAACGATGCAGCCATCAACGCATCTAAGCGTATTATGGGGTGTCATCAAATGCCATTGCCATGGCGACAGATCATTCGCCATCAAGTTAGTTCAGAAGTTTGCAGTTCGAATATTCTGCTGCTTTTCCAAGCCTTTTCACTTTCTTTTCTTCTCTCATCACACATTCAAGCCCCCTGTGTTCATGTATCATTTCAATCTAAATTCTTCACTTTCTTCTTACACATTACATTTCAGCATAGCAGTTTAGCGTCAGATTTCCAGCATAAAGCATTCCCACTAGCAATTTCTTCAGGAATTGCATTCTCTAGTTATTTATAGATTCCTGATCAGAAGACCTTTTGACAAACTGTAAGAAATGCCACCAAAACTGAATACGTGACGCGGTCATAAATATATTAGCAATTAAACAACATCTTCCATTTCTTTTCACACAATACGTCTCCTTACAGTATCAACACTTATTCGGCTGACTTTTATATTTGATCCAATTAGTAGATAGGCTGTATTTACACCATAACGGTGCACAGCTGATAGAAAGGGACTTTTTTGTAGTTTTTAAAGATATTATTTACTACCTTTCCAACTCCTCATGCAGTTGACTGTTACAGGTCTATATAGGTTCATGGTACAATGCATAAGCTTCACATCGAGAGACTGAAACTGTATTTTCCTTTACCGTTCTGTTTTAGTTTCACAATAAAGTTAATAGTCATATTATGTTTGATATTATTATGTTTTATTAACTACACCACTGTTTTTTTAACCCGCACCGCCTAGTGGTTAAAGCACGTTATTGAAATTTGTTGTTGAATACGTTTTATTTGATGAAAACATTTAAATATTAAGAGTAGCCTACATACAAAATTGAAAATATCAAGAAGATACTGTAGTGATCTCTACAATAAAACAGTTTAGTGCAGGACGTCCAAAGATATTAACAGGAGGATGTGCAAAACAGACAAACTAATAAGGCTTTATTTAAACATTAAAGATTACTTTAAGTTAAGGTCTTCTTTTGAATAAGAAAAAAAACGTTGGGGTTATCCACAGATAAATATGAAGTCTGACAAAGTACTTAACGTCCAATATATTGCATAGTTTATTTTGGCACTTGACAATCACCTTCCCTGAATTTGACTCAGGTGTAACTCAAGTCTGATTTAAGGGTTGTTTATATTTCACATCATTAATCAGAATCTGTAAAGTAACTCAAATAAATGTAGTGGAGTAAAAATACCAGGTTAACCTCTGAATTGTAGTGGAGTAGAACAAAGCAGTATGCTGCTGTAACAAAAACATTTCCCAACTTTGGATCAATAAAGTATATCTTATCTTATCTTATTTTAAGATGATCGATGGTGACTGCCATATTTGCAAAATGTGCCTCTGAACCTAGACAAGTGCATGTTTCAGGCTTATCAATGAATAACAGGAGGGGTCACAGACATAAGACCAGCTGTTAAATAAAGCTCTTCTGACCTTAGGTGTTATGTGGGTATATTAATTCACCCATGTATTAATTATATGTTTTAAATTTGATAACATCACTGTGTTTCGTATTTCCTAATTCTCCAGGGTGTACACAGTTTAATACTGGCAACTTCTAATTGTGGGAAATACGAAAACGTCTTATAAAGAGACGTGCCATAGAACATGTTGCGAAACACACAATAGCCAGCATGTGTAGTTCTGGGGGGGGGGGGGGGGGGGGTTGGGGGGCTGGACCCGTCCAATTCCTGTTTTGGAAAGTCTGCCGTGGTTCCATTCCATTTCAAAGAGCTGTTGACGCTCAGCGTAACCTTGTCGCACTGCCACTCCAACATCCAATCACAGGGCTTGATGACTAATCACGGGGTTTGTAAAGCAAGGCGGATGTTGTAGTCCCAGACGATAGCTGGGGATTCTGGGTAGTGTAGTGTCTTCGGAAACTGTAGTGTCTAAACTCCTAACAAACTATTTGTTTCTCTGAATCGAAGGTTAAAAACACAAAAGCATTGTACACAATTTAAACCAATCAATATTGTGTAATTATTAACAAGGGTAAACTGATGTTTTTTAGTGGATGAGTAATGCAGATATCACTGTGTAATCATTTCACAGTGAGGGGAATATATCCGGTTTTATTATGAAAACTTCGAGACCGGAAAAACTGTTTTCACCCACGCTAACTTCACATGGAAACTGCCGCATATACACATTATTCTGGGGACACCTCAAATCATCTTCGTATATCTATCAAACTATATATCCTACACATCCACTGGACGTAGATTATAAAAGTACAATATACACTTCTCGCCAGAAATCTAATTAAAAAGCATTTTAATGGCCAAACTATTCCACAATTTAGGATTTTCCAGAGAGGGTTATTTGTGAATAAACGGGAGCATGTTGTTTCTTACACGACCACTAGAGGTGCTACACTTTAAAACGTGGCTATGGGTCGTAATCTAAGGTGCTTAAACAATCGACCCATTTGGTCATTTTGTGTAGGACAGGCTGCTCAAATGATTTAATTCCCATTTAAAATCAGGGCCCAAGAGTTCAAAACTTTTAATCCCTATCTGATCCGATCAGATTTGGATTTTGGGGAGTTCAAAACCAAAAAACAGGATTAGGATCACTTTGATATCTGATCAGATCAGGAAATCCAATCCAAGCTTTAATCTGGATCAGATCTTCAAAACGGGTAGTTCAAACCGACAACACAGGATTGGGATCAATTTGATCCCAAAAAACTGGATTATCCTGATCCCACCAGAGGGGTGGGTTTCCAGTGGATTACCAGAGCGAAATGTACTGTACCATTTATTTTAAAATATCTTTCAATTTAAATAAGATGGCAAAGTTTGTTAACTGAAATAATACACCATTTTTAGCCTTCATGGGAAATACATTGTATTTTTTCCATTTTTGCTCACGTTTGTGGTGGCCTATTTTGTTTTCAACCAAATGTTGATGACATAAATGTTTATGCTCATAAAAGTATCATTGCAAAGATTGTCAATCACAAATGTAATTTAGATTAAAGTAAAAATATCTTCAACAAAAAAAAAGTCCATCATCTGTCATCACCTTTCAAATAAAAAAATATAATTAGACATTATAGATTGTCTTCCTTGTATTATTTGTCATGTCCACTAGATGGCGATCGGTAGGATTAAAGCACTGATATTCAGGATCTAGTCATCTTGAAAAGTCGTAATCTGGATCAGGCTGATCCTATCCTGAATTGCTTTGAACTCCAGGGACAAAATGTGGCGGATTTGTCTGATCCTGGATCACAAAAAATGGGATTTCAAAATCTGATCGGATCTGATTGAGATTAAAAGTGTTGAACTCCTGGGCCCAGGAGACTAAATACGAACATTATGTGTGTATGTTAGGGGTGTAACGGTATACGTACCCGTACCTAAATTATTCGGTACGGGCCAGGGACGTGCACAGACATTTGGAGGGGCTATTGCTCTAAACTGGAAAAAGGGCCTCCCCCCTTGTTTTTAATGTAAAAGGTTCATGAAATAAAATGGGCTGGCTGTGGCTCAGTGGGTATGTGTGCTGGACTTCGAATCTGGGGATAGCAACTTCGAGTCCCACTGCAGTCAGCATGTCGTTGTGTCCCTGAGACACTTCACCCCAAATTGCTCCTGTGGGGATTGGACACAGTACTGAATGTATGTAAATCACATTGGATAAAAGTGTCTAACAAATGACATGTAATGTAATGTAATAAAAGCACAACACTGTCATTGTCAAATACTCCGTACTATAGTACGGAGTATTTTGACTATTCTAGTTTTAACTTCTACGCAACTACATTATAGAATCACATTTTGTATTTTTTACATTTATTTGAGAGCAGTTAGTTAGTAACTTTGTATGTTTTAGATTATAAACTAATACAAAATATAAATCAATTGTAACATAAACATTACCTTATTGTTTTAGGTTATGATATCAAGCAGCAGAATATAAAGTAGGATACTTTAAATTATCTCTACATGCAAGTATTTAATGCTGATAATGTTGTACTTTGAACTAAGTTACATTTTGAATGCATGAGTTTAACTTGTAAAGTATTGTTCAACTTCTTCCACCACTGCGTGTGGTGCACATCATGGTGCACATCATGGTGCACGGCTCACAACAGGTCAACGTCGCGATGACGTAACCCGACATGACGCTTTGAAAGACTCACGGAGCGGAAATAAATCATAACTGTACGTGTCACAAGCAGCCAGGCACACCGAGCGCGACTGAGGATTGACACATTGAGGTGTTTTAATTGTCCATGTTGTGTCCTGGGCTGCCTCACAGTGGGTTTAGCTGCTTTGTGTTTAATATCCACCCTGGAGGGACAGAGGAGGAGTAACGGGAGGACAGCGTGGGATCTACGGACTGTCCGCTCCTGTAACGGTACTGAAAGTGTTCAGACATGGGAGCTGTTCTGGGAGCCTTCTCCCTGGCAAGCTGCGTAAGTTATGACATTGCTATTATAAACTTTACAAGATTGTTATTTACAACCACACTGTTTCACATTGAGGAGGAACGTATGGTATGGTGATGTCATGAAGAGCAAGCAACAGGTAGCCAATATCGCTCCATAGTACAGTACTCTGTCCTCCTCTCGTGGTCTATGGGCTAAGATACCAGACAAATGATTACTTGGGCTCTCGGCTGGGGTTTATTGATGGCTTCTCCGCAAAGCACTACTTTCTCCTGCTAAATATGATATGTTATTGAATCGTTTCATTCCGTTCCCACCTGTCCGACAGCTTGTTGCTGGGGTGGGGACGGAGTCCGAACTCCATTCAAATAACCTAGCGTGTTAACTGCCTTTCTTTGCCTCACATTTAGGCAGATATTATAAAACACATTCAACTGATTCATTGGCATTTTTAAATGGTGCGTTAGAACCTTATAATTGTATAGCCTGAAATGTAATTTGACATTAAGAGACAGACAATTATGTTTACAGATATGGCACGATAGGAATATGAAGGCATCAAGCACATCAATGCATAAAGCGAATCGAAAGGCTATTCTTGGTGACTCACAGTCACAAGAACATGCACATAGTGCAGCCTGTAGCTAAGATAAGATGCTAAATGTTGTTCAGAAGAGTCTAAAATCATGTTTCCTAACACAGGGACAGTAAGAGAGCGCAGGGTTAGGCGGAACCCGGTCATCTGCTCTCACGTGCTTAATTGGATTAACTCTGCTTTGTTGCTTGTACCACCAACACGAGCGCCATATTATGAGTGCAGACGATGACAGCATGCATAAGGCGGGAAGAGAGCATTGAAATGAGTGATTATGGTTAGGAACAATACGAGACGCTCGTCTGCTGTATGGATGAAAGGCTTAAAGTGCCACACAGCACTCATCACTCATAATAACTCACTCATAATCACTCATAATAACCTCAGTTATCTTTTAACTGTGTTTGTTGGGGGGAGATTAAATGCTATATATTGGACTAATGGTGATTAAAAAAAACTGGTCAGCAAATATTTAGGATTTTTACTTGATGAACAAATAGAAACATTTCCTTTTAATTAGAGGACTATCTCAAGAAAACTAGACACCATGTTTCAGAGGGTAGTACTCTGATAAACACACCTGTGTTATGTGGCATGTTATCATGGCCTACTGTCTGGAGCTAAGCTGACTTTGTCTAGCAGGCGTATTAAGTTGTTGACTATCTTCCGGCCTCCTTATCTCTACACACCGCTCTGCTGTTGGTGTAGGAGAGAGACACATGTAAAGCTCTGTGGATAAGCCTTTGTTGTACATTAATACACAGGATGTTTGTCCATGCCAATGAACCGAGCCTTTCTTTAAGTTTAGGACAAAATATGGAGAATATGAAATTATTAATCCTCTGTAAAAAGTCTAACTCTCAAACCCATCTGGTTTACAACTCACAGTTCTCTATAGCTCAAGGACCATTTCCAGGATAAGAAGGATTTTTTACCCACCTGGGTCACTTTGGGCCACGAAAGTTTGGCATAACATTGTATTAATCACCATTTCATTGATATAGAGAGTACAATCACTCTGGTGTAAACAGCTTTACAACAAGTTATAGCACTTAGAGTCGTCTCGTTGTTGTTCAAAGGTGCCACTGTCGTTTACTTTAAATTAATCCCACAAAAAAGGTTTCTAAAAATAGGCCCAAACATGCACTAATTATTCGTGTTCGAGTAATGTTAAATAATAAATACAACAACAACAAATTATTTATTTTTTGAAAATGAAACATTATTATGGTGGACTTTTTAAAGATTAACATCTTCAGTAGAACCAGTACTGCATGATAAACTGACACTGTTGGTTTTGGACTCTTTACTTGATTTGTTTGAAATTAGGAACCATCTGTGGGATGAGATAATAAAGCAGGTTTACTGTAATGTGACTGATTGAACGCACAGATACACTTGCAGAGCGTTGCCATGGACACTGAGTTTATTTTCTGTAAAAAGTTAGATTTCTTAAAATGATATTCCTTTCTTTATTACAGTTAATCAAACATTAGCTTATTTTCTCAACTGCCCTGTGCGTAGATATTTTTCCTCCAAACACACATTTCTGGATATTAATATGAATACTGTATACAACGTTGTTGTACTAGAACATACATACACAGCTTTGTTCTTATTTTGTTGTATTATTGTGATCCACATGACCATAGAAAACACTGATTGATCCGCAACAAATCTGTTGTCTTAGTTATTAACTATAACGGTTACATATTTGTATAGCATGTTACTGTCATCTTAAAGTGCAATTAAAAATGTAGAATTAATATTTCAATGTTTCAGTATTTAATGGCAGTAAAACAATCAAGAACATAAATACTGATGCTCACTTCAGTGGACATGCATGGAAGTCTTAACCGTTCTTCTTCCAAATACAGATTCTCTTTTCTGCGCCCTGTGGGATTCTTAATATTCTGCTAAAACTACGTTGTAATCCAAGATTAAAGAAGCTCTGCAAACTAAACATGTCCTGTTGGTAGAACATGTTCAATGGTTGAAAAGGGAAAAGGCTAAATAGCAGATAATTGAAGCCGTTAGTCCAGGGTCTTCAGAGGGGACTGCCGTGCAGATGACCTTCACATGATAGTTCAGCAGTGTCTCATGTTGAGTCCCATGTACCATCCTAACAAGCAGGACATATCCATTATCCTCAGCTTCCTGCTAATAAAGAGAAATACATGGGAACGTTTGTCATGCTCTGAATCTACTCACATTTTTTCCCAGGAGAACAGTTTTTTTTTGTAAAATATTTTACATTGCCAAGAATGGACGCCACAAAACTGTGTTTCACAACTAGAAAACGCTACATTGTATTAATAGCAATAGGCGCATTCACACCGCAGTACTTTTCCCACAAAGGTTCATGAGAACTTAGTTCATGAGAACTCTTTAATTCTCATGAACTAGTACAGATCGTACAGATCGCGTTCACACCGGAATAAGTTCCTGGGGAAGGATTAGGCAAATGAAGCCACATTTTTCTTCTGCTTTGGGTTTACTGGGAGGCCGCAAACAACTTCACGGCGTATACTGCCACCGGAAGTCCCTGGAGTTGGGGACTGGCTTCAGTAGAAGCTGCTGGGACTCCCAGCAGCTTCTACTGAAGCCTTCCGAGTAAATCGCCAGAACGCCGACACCTCCTCATCTCCACCGCTCCCATGTTTTATTTTGTGTTGTCATAAGTTAGTCTCTCTGCGTTTGTGCGCTGGGCTAATGCTAATAATGCTAATGCGAGGATAATAAAATGGCGGCTTCACAAAACTTTTTGGGAGTTTTACGGGGCGTGGTTTGCAATCCGCCCAGCCAATCAGACATAGGAACCTTTTTCTCCCACGAAAGTCCCTGCTCTCTGAGTCCTGGATTTGAGTCCTGGACTTCGAGTCCTGGCTGAACCTATCACTGCAGTCCTGTGTCCTGGATCCTTAGTCATGTGTCCGATCCAGAGTCCTGGATCCTGAGTCCTGGATCCTGTATCCTGAGTCCTGGATCCTGAGTCCTGGATCCTGAGTCCTGGATCCTGAGTCGTGGCTGAACCTGTCTCTGCGGTCCTGCCTGACTCTCATCATATTACTTCCCTGATGGCTCCCACAGGATTGTTGACATCCTCGTGGATTCATCTTCCTATTATACACACATGCATTTCCAAACATTTGGACTACCTATGTTGCAAATGTATTATCTTTTCAATTTACACACGGCATCTATTGCACGTCTGTCCGTCCTGGGAGAGGGATCCCTCCTCTGTTGCTCTCCCTGAGGTTTCTCCCATGTTCCCTTTTAAACTGTGGGTTTTCTTCTGAAGTTTTTCCTTGTACGATGTGAGGGTCTAAGGACAGAGGGTCTAAGGACAGAGGGTGTCGTATTGTCATACTGATATTCTGTACACACTGTGAAGACCACTGAGACAAATGTAACATTTGTGATATTGGGCTATATAAATAAACATTGATTGACTGATTGACTGAGGTGTGAGCAATGAAAGCGCTTGGAGTAAAAAGGGAGTGAAAGCATCTGCATTTATATGTTTCTGCAGATTTGTTTTCACCTAAATGTGTCTCCTGTGTTTGGTGCTCCTGCTTTAACATGCAGATGATGAAGTGATTGTGTGTCCCCAGCTGCCGTGCCTGTGTAGCAGCGCCACCTGTCTGCTGTGCAGCTGCTGTCCCAGCACCAGGAACTCCACGGTGACCCGGATCATCTACGCCTTCATCCTGCTGCTGGGGACCATCGTGGCCTGCATCATGCTGTCCCCGGGGGTCGATCAGCAGCTTAAAAGGGTATGAGTGAACTGTGGAGATACAGTCAATGTATAGATATATAACACACATGTTTATTCACGGTAATGCTCTATTGCTGTGTCAAACAGAACAGTTCCAGCTCTCCTGTGTTCTCATTCTGTTCCGAGTCCTTGTTCCAGAGGTTTCCATTACAATCATAACGTGTGATGATTATCTTTGTGTGATGAAGTTCACTGACATTACACAGATGTTTAATCATCTCATGACGCTGGATACAAAGGTTGAATTCAGCTGGAGCTGCCTACTTGTTATTACTTAAGAGCTGACTCTCTGTTGTAGATAGATGATGTGGCAGATGAGTAAGAATGGACAGTGAAGCCTCTGATTTGTTGTCTGGCAGTTATTTTCACCAACAACATTGTGCAGACCGTGTCTAAATCGCGCCAAAACTCTATCAATAATAATAACTCTTAAAAGTCCTACGGTTTAAACGTAACAAAAACCGATGTGTTGGCTACTAAAAGTGTCACTGAACAAGATCACAAGGCACAGACGTTCTTTTCAATCGTATACTTAAGCAATAGCTCACGACAGGCCGTGGTATATGCTCATTATATCACAGCTAAGGGGCGTGGTTCAGCCCGACGCGAAGCGGAGGGTCGACAACCCCCTTAGCTGTGATATAATGAGCATATATCACGGCCTGAAGTGAGCTATTGCTTTTATAAAGCGGTTACTAAGTGTGGCAATATGAAAGAAAAATACACACTCTAATTTAAATAGTTTTTATTAGTAAATAATGATGTTCAAAATAAAATAGTCCCTCCGTTGCCTTCTGCACGAAACATAGTGCGAGGTGGTTGCTATGCAACAACACTAACAGCTAGCGAACATATTAGACAGAGAGCGTTGATCCATTATTTGGCTCTTTATTTACATTCATGTGTATGTTGCCGTTTATTGTGCAGCCACTGAAAACCTGTCCAGCATCAGTAGCATGGCTTACGAGGTTACTTGTATAGGTTGAGGTTGTTCTAGGCTGTTGCTTGGCGTGGTGAGAATATTGCTCCACTTTCTCCGGTCCCCGAGATTTGTCTTCCAGTAGCTCTGGAGAGAGCTTTCGCACCTGTGGCCAACGGTCATAATTTCTTCACGTAGGCCTAGCTCTGCATGTCGTCGTTTAGGTGCTTTTTTCTTCTGGAGAATGGCACTGCTCAATCCACTCCTCCATAGTAAGACCCCCCCGGAGGTCGAAGTTAATCTTAAATGTTTCCATCTTATGCTTTGTAAGTTTGTTTCGTAACGGAAGAAATGTAAATATATTTATAAAACTGACAAGTCAAATCAAGCAATCTGATTGGTCGATAGTGTTTTTGCGGACCTCTTTGATTACAGATTTGAAAACATTGTTGCTTGCTTTAAAAGTAGCTCAATTCATTATGTCAAACCTTGGAAAGTATCTAGATATCCCTGCCCTAATGCCAAAGGAACTGCACACTGAATAGGCCTATGTTTTGCCATTTGATATCTATGTCTGGACCGCTGCGTAAAAAGGAGGGTTTCTGCCCCGTTACTTCTCCGCTGCTTTCTTGTTCCAGTTTGAAAAGCAAACTGCAGGCAGTTTGCTTTTCAGCCCAACGGTGTACTGTTTTTCTCAGACGCGGAGGGATACTGACTTGTTGCGAAAAGTAACTTACAATTCTACCCGTGGTATACGCTCAGTATATCACGGCTAAGAACCAATCAGATTGCTTGATTTGACTTGTCCGTTTTATAATTAGGGTTAGGGTTACTCGGTAACTGGCCCGGTGCTTCCGAACATGAACTGGACTTCAGCTCCTGCTCTTTTGAACCCTTCCTGTGTGTGCTGTAGATCCCTGGCTTCTGTGAAGACGGGGCCGGCTCCTCTATCCCTGGCATGCAGGCCGATGTCAACTGTGAGATGTTCGTGGGCTACAAGGCAGTGTACCGCATCTGCTTCGGCATGAGCATGTGGTTCCTGGGGTTTTCCATCCTGATGATTAACATCAAGAACAGCAGAGACCCCCGTGCTGCCATCCACAACGGGTAAGCCCTGCAGTAACAGCAGCAGCTCATGCACTCTATCACAAACACTGTTTCAGACTCCCCTTCATGTACCTGAGCACGGTTTAAAAAGATTCTCACTGCAGGTGTTACACGTGTGGTAAGAGCAGAAACAGAGCAGGCTGATATCAAAGGCATCTACAGAGCTGTTCTTTGCTGTTGATTAAAACATAAAGGACTTTCTCTCTCTGCACTGTAACTATAGGTCAGAGGATATCAGTTTTACAACATGTCCCACTCACACCTTTGAAAACCTCTATTGCTTCGTGTGTACAAAGATAAACCATGTAACAACATTGCAACACAGACAATTCCTAGAACAGAAAGGATAATGTGGGCATATATGAAAAAGATAACCCTAACCCAAAAAGCTTCCAGGTATTTCCTTGAGCTTTTTTCGCAAACACAAACAAACAACACTGCCAAGTTCTTATTTAATTATCTGCACTTCATTTTTGTTTGTTTTCCCATGTCCCACCTTATTAAGAACTTCATTTCAATACCTTGAAACTGTGCGATGCTTATTTAAAACGTCCTTAATTATTTTATTTTTTTTAATGAATTGTGTTTATCGCTATTTTTACATAGATTCTTCAAAGGATTGCCTTATTCTAGGCGTCTCAAAAGGCCAATTGAATATTTGTATCACAACAAGATAGGAATAGATAGACAGAGAGATAAAGAGAGACAGAGGCGTGTCTCCAGAAGTTTCCATGTTCACACACACACACACACACACACACACACACACACACACACACACACACGTTGCAGCTGGTCATAAGGCTGCAAGGTCTTTCTTGTGGATGTCGCCTGTTCTTGTCCCTGAATGGCAGGGGTACTCACACTTTTATGTTAAAGGTCCACTTTGTTATGTAATATCTCTGGTCCGGATCAATGCCAGTGAATGCGTGTCACGCTCGCGCACACAAGTAAATATATATGCACGTTCATTCTCACAACGCGTCAGACACAAGAAGATATACATTCATTTACATCAGAATCAGAAAGTTTTTATTTTTTTATTTTGAATAGTTTTTATTTTTTATAATGGGACACAGGGTTCGGTCCGGATTGATTTGCTGTTCGGTCCGGGGTTGGAGAAGCCCTGCTTTAGTCATGTGGACAGTTATGACATCTGAGCAGATCTGATTGTTTGACCCACATTAAACCTTGCAGTGTGTTAGTGTTTTTTGATCAGAAGAAACGCTGGGGAATTAGCTTTGACCTTAAGGATCACTGTTTAGAAATGCTTTCAAACTCTAAATGTATGTTTATGTACATCCTACTCTATGATCAGCTGTTGTTTTTCTCAGATTCTGGTTCTTTAAGTTTGCTGCCCTGGTGGCAGTTACAGTTGGTGCCTTTTATATTCCAGATGGGCCTTTCACCTACAGTAAGAACTTCCTATTCTACATTTAGTATGACTTCCAATATACAGAGTTGTTGTAATACCAAGTGAGTTACTGAATGAGCTGTGTGTCTGTGGTTGCAGCGTGGTTTGTGGTGGGCTCTGGGGGGGCTTTCTGCTTCATCCTGATCCAGCTGGTGCTGCTGGTGGACTTCGCCCACTCATGGAACGAGTCCTGGGTGGAGAAGATGGAGACCGGCAGTTCCAGGTGCTGGTGCGCAGGTCAGTGACTCAACAGTGTGTACAAAATGATACACTGCATACTACTTCCAAGTATGTTTGAGCGTGTGTTTTGTTAATACTTTGGAATTCAACAATAAGATACATTTGTAAGTAATAACATGCAGACTAAGTATGGGATAATGTGTGAACCCGCTCATTACATGACAACTTACTGATCAATATTTGACACAATATATTGATTTAAGCAGGATTTCATTGATTTCAAAAAGATTATATTACTTTCGCTAAGAAAGAAATAGTCTGTTCTACTGCATTTTCTTCTGTGACTGTCCAAGTCTGTCGCAACATTTACCGTGACACAACATTCAGCCGTTCACGGAAACAACCGATTACGACCGAGAAATGCGTATCATTACGGTACTTATTAAGCATTTTACAACTTATACCGTAACTTGCAAAAGTGCTTTGTTTTGAACGTTCATCAGTATTATAATCAAAAAGAGAAATATGAACGTTAGTTTTTACTGAAATGATCAAATAAAGTCAACATTTCACAGTCTTTACTGAGCTGTGTGGGGTTTGTTCAACTTTTAAAAGATGTTTGAATGGTGATATACACAGTGATAGATGTTAAGGACTAACGTTTATAATAAATACATTTGTATTGATTTTAAGATCTTTTCATAGTTCATACAATTATACGTATTGGGATCATTTGTATTAATGTGGACCGGAGGGAGAGGGTGACGAGCATAAGTTTCACTTTCCTTTTTTATTTCAATTCCAACTTTGGTCCTGAAGAATATGTTTCTCTGTTGTCCACGTTCATAAAGCATAAAGCAACAGCATCAGAGCACGGTGCAGAGTCTCTAGATGAGTTCACAGTAGTCCCTCGTTCTTATTGAACATCCATGTTGTAGTCCGCTGTATAGAAAACTGTAGTTTCCATAGTTTCCCCACAGCAGCAGACGCACATTCATGACGTCCGCTGGCGCATCATAAACACGTCGGATAGTGAAAGTGCAGTCGATTCTCTAAAGTACCACAGTCTCTTCTCCTAAGTCCTTTTGAATTCTCCTATCCACTATCCCTTAACCCCGTGACGTTTCACTCAGAGGTCAAGGAAGAGACAATAGGGTTAGACGTTAGGAGCTGATTTTTGGATTATCGGACTGCAGCCCTCGTCTCTCTTCTTCTGCTGTTCCCTTTAGTGTTTACTTCCTGTCTCTCTTCAACCTCTTTTCTTGTCTTACACTGTTTTTCTTGATCTTATTCTCTTTTATTTTCTATTCATTTGTGCTATGCACAATTAAAATAAATGTTCAAAAGGTATTCCATGGTGTTTTCTGTTGGAGGAAAGCTAATTTGTATTTTTTAGCTGACGTTAAATTGACCGGACTTCTTTTTGCTGGTTGATATGACTGCAAATATTCCTTAATCCTTAGCAGTGGCCTGCTATCAAATATGAACCTTTTCTACCTTGTGTTTTTAGCGTTGCTGGTGGTCACTCTCATCAACTACATCATGTCCTTTACTGCTGTGGTGCTGTTCTTCATCTTCTACACAAAGCCTGATGGATGCTCCATCAACAAGTTCTTCATCAGCTTCAACATGTTGTTCTGCCTGGTGGCCTCCTTCCTCTCTGTGCTGCCTAAAGTTCAGGTACAGCAGTGGGGGGCGTGTTGTTAGCTTCTGGTGCTAGCGAGCTAGTGGCCGGGTCTCAAACATTTTGGTCACGATTAATGTAAACAATTATTTCCGAGGCACACGTTTATATGATCATTATAGTTATAAAAAAATAAGAGAATAAATGAAAAACAGGTATGAAATACTATGACAGTAAAAAAAGAATACAGTTTAAAAGGGAGTGATTTGTAAAATATCCATAAAGAAAAAGTAAATCTGTGTACAGTTCTGTTTCATCTGGGTGTTGAGAGAGGTATCCATAGATCTCTCCATATTGCTCTCAAAGTGCACCAGATTGATGCATTTAACTTCAAGATTTAAAAAAAAATCTTCCCAGGAGAGCATTGTTTTATTATCACTGTTCTAGCAAAGGAATGCTCATGTTCATATTGATGTATTTTAAGAAATGTTAACTTGGCCCATTACGTGATTATTTGTGTTGCGTACATATAGTAAGGGTTAGGGTTATTTTAGGGTTATTAGCAGTACAGGCTAATAATAGTGATACAGTCATCATACTATCAATGTAAATCAAAATAAAAGTTCAGCTCCCCTCATCAATTTGCTGTTAAAGAAAATGTTGGTTTAAAAAACTATGATTTCTTAACAAACTAAATTGGGTCAATACAGACGTTAATGATAGTCAGTGAAAAAGAGAAATCATAGAGACAGTTTTGTAAGAGGAACATCACTGGGTACCTGCTGCTCAGTGGCTATTGCGTACAAATGAAGACAAAACCACGATAGGGGAAGCTGCAGATATAGCAGACTGTATATTAAATACAGGCATTATATTTTGAAAATGACTAGGGTCTGATACTTTTCACCAAGAGTGTTCCTCCACCATCTGTGTATTCTCACCATTTCCATCAACTTACAAATATCCCACCAAAAGATATCACTGTTGTGACTGTTAACCTCGCAGCTGTGTGTGTTTTGGTGTCTGCATTTGAACGTGTGAAACTGAAACTCCAGCTGGGCTCAATGTTCACTGTGGGGTTCGGTGACAGTTGTTGAACAGATTAAAAAGCCCTTTGGGTTTTGAACTACATATTTGCAGACAAAACCGCCATAATCTTTGCAGTGTTGCTCTAAGAACAAGTTACTCCTCAGTATCAGCAAAACCACAGACAGATTGTTGGTTGTATAAAAAAGGAACAGAAGACACCCCTGTCTACTGTATATCAATGTAACTGATTTCAGTTCAGGCTAATTCATTGTATCCTGCACAGGGCAAGCAGTATGTTTCTTACTCTAAAGATGAGTCCTTTCCATGAATCCTTAAAAGTGACTATATTTGGGAGAGAATGATTTTGACATTACATGTCACTTGTTAGACGCAGTTATCATGGAGTATTTCATGTTATTTATGTTTCATTGTCTGCCTATTTGATCTGTGTGTATCCTCAGGAGTCGCAGACACGTTCAGGTCTCCTGCAGTCCTCCATCATCACCCTGTACACCATGTATCTCACCTGGTCCGCCATGACCAATGAACCTGGTGAGGATGTCTGCTGCATGCGTGAATTACTGCTGTAAACATTGATTCAGTTGGAATGAGCAGAAACAATCAGAATCCATTCGCTTCAACCAAGGAACCTGACGGTGGTTCTGTCTCTGGTGTTCTTTTGAAAGGAATAGCCTCTTTCTACGTCATAAGACTTTGACTTATACCTTTCGTTTGATATGCTTTTGTTCAAAAAGCATGATTTATGTTGTGCCTGCAGCAACATGTTTAATTCCTCCATGGAATGTGCAAAAGTATTCACACACAAAGCATTGCTATTGATTTCGTCTAAGTCAAATGTTCACGCTACTTTCAAGGATCTCGTGTCTCATGTCTGTTTTTCCAAAGAACGTGTTTTAAGGCATATGAGAGGCAACAACACGTCTGAAAATAAGAAGCAATAACTGTCCCCCTTTCTACTTAAACCCCCCGTGCTTGTTTAATCCCCCCCCCCCTCAGATCGAGAGTGTAACCCCAGCCTGCTGAGCCTCTTCCAGCAGATAGCAGTGCCCACCCTGGCCCCTCTGGAGATGGAGAACCAGACGGCGGTGCTGATCCTGGGCCCGGACACAGAGGAGCCCGTCCTTACGTCCCCCTACCTGCCGTGGTGGGACGCCCAGAGCATCGTGGGGCTCGCCATCTTTGTCCTCTGCATCCTCTACTCAAGGTAGGCTGAGATTAGAAACAATGAGATCACCTCTTGCAAACTATTTTCATTCACAAACTTCCCACAAGGTCCACAAATGTTCCCATGAGCATCATGGGAAGTGCGGCTGTGATGGGCCGAATCACAGGTTTGAATGGATTATTGATCGGCCTGCCCACATCTAACTGCACAGTGACACATGTTCAAAGAGGACAGAAAGTCTTGAGACGCTTTCAATATGAACACAGTGGTTTAACTCAGAGGATTTAGTTAGTGTGGCTGTTTGTCACAGCTCATCATCCCGGAGGTTTCATTACATCACATGCAAGTTTCAAAGGCTGATAAAGAGCGTTATTATAACAGCATGGTACGTTGTACTTCACATGAAATATAAAATAAAACTGTAATAATGAACATTTGAAATATGAATTAAATGTAGAGAGCGCATGAGAGTCACAGCGCACGGCACGGACGCAGCGGTGTAAACAGCAGAAGCTCCGCTAAGGATTCTTATTGTGTGTGTGAACAAGCAGCGAGGACACACACGGAACATTTAGTTCTAGTTTCTATTATTCATATCTGAATATAACAACCCAATAAATACTACAGAGGAAACGGTTGGGGATAATTAATTAAGCTCTGTGTTGTTATGAAGCCGGCATTCAGGAAGCTGCGCTCTGATGGTGTGCAGGAGGAGACTCTTTGCCGTGGTAGTTTGCATGTCACCTTGTGGTCCTTTACTCGCTCAGAAAGATCCACACTTTGGATTTCCTGCCCGACCAAAGTCTGAGGGGGTTTCCGGCTGACGCGTCATAGCACATGCAGCGCACGGATGGAGCTTTTTTTCCAACTAAACGACTAATGGAAAACTGCTCGATTAAGACTTTATTAGTCGACTAGTGATTATTCGACTATAGGGGCAGCCCTACTCCTCAGTTTGTTTTTAGTATGGTTTTACTCTTCAGGGCCAATTGAACCTTTCTATAAATGTATCATTTCCAAATCGACACACAGTATCCATGTTCCTGTGTTCTGCCCTCAGCATTCGGTCGTCCAGCACCAGCCAGGTGAACAAGCTGACCATGGCTTCCAAAGACTCGGCCATCCTGGCGGAGGAGGGCAGCAGCTCCGACCTCTCCGAGGAGGCCCCGGGGCCCCGGAGGGTGGAGGACAACGAGCGGGACCTGGTGCAGTACAGCTACTCCTTCTTCCATTTCATGCTCTTCCTGGCCTCCCTGTACATCATGATGACCCTCACCAACTGGTACAGGTCAGTCCTGCACACAGCCTGCCCCCCCCCCCCCCCCCAGCTGCGTGGAACAGTTTGACAAAATTCCAAAATGAATCAGAAAAAGACTTGCCTCACCGCTCCACATCAGATGAAAAGTTCCTCATGTTTAGAAAGTAACACACATGTGGGATTTACACCCAGCGTTCTTTTAGCAACCTCACCTGCTTCTGCAATACTATGATGTTTTTCGGTTAGAGGAGTCTTTTGTTTAAGAGGCCTTTTGGGGTTTTCAACATGTTTGTATTCATTTGCCAGAGAAATAGATGCTTACCCCAGAGAATAGATTGAAACACTAGCATGAGAGGCTGTAACTGGGCGAGTGTGACCCATTAGTCAGAATGGCCACAATTAGGAAAATGGTTGAAAATGATGGCATTTCCCTCAAATGGTTTGTCTGGCTGATTGTCCCACAGTGGTTACAAAGTCATCTGTTTTAAACATATATTAACATACAGACCAAATTCAGCTTTGACCTTCTTGCTGCTCTTTCCAGTGAGGCATTACCCTACGACCACTATTAAGGGTGCATTTGCTCACCCTCTTTGACTGTTGTAGCTTATGGCGTCTCTAGATCTAAAATGATCTTACTTGGATGTAAAGCCCTCCAGTGAGTTTCACCTTGTCTTCTGAAACAATAGTTTGTTGTAAATGAAAGACGTTATAAGCAGATTGATGTTAATGCCTGTTGTGTTCTTGACAGCCCTGATGCAGACTACACAGTGACCAGCAGCTGGCCAGCAGTGTGGGTGAAGATCACCTCCAGCTGGGTGTGTTTGGCCCTGTACGTGTGGACCCTGGTGGCCCCCATGATCCTCACCAACAGAGACTTCAGCTGAGCAGCATCTGCGGCTCTTTTTACACAAAGTCTGACCACTTTGCCTACATCTTACTTTCAAAATACACTTCAATGTATGCTTTGGGCTTGAGATTAGTTTCACTATTTAAAGGGGGCCTTATTATAATATCATAGTGACATCACTATTTAATACTCGTGCTTCTATTGGCTAGTGCTCCAACACATTCTGCGTGATAGGCTAAGGGCGGGACATCTGTAAGCGGTTGACCAATCACAACAGAGCTGGCCAGCTAACCAATCAGAGCAGACTGGGCCCTGGGGGGTGTACTACGAAGCAGGATTTTCGCTTAGCGGCTAAATTCAGGGAAAACTCCGGCTTTCCGGTCCTACGAAGCTGGTTCTCTTTTTAGCAGGCTAGATCTCCATGGTAACTTATGCTTAGCGGCTAACCTGCTCCGGAGCGGGTTAGGTTGCAGGCTAAGAGCTCAACTCAGTGAAAGCACTGCCTGCTGACCAATCAGAGCTCAGTGTGCGGAGTTTAAAGCAATCAAGTCATATTACAGGAGAAAGGAAATACAGAAAAGCTGCCGTCACAGGAAAGACGGCCGGAAAAAATCAGCGACTGTGTGAACGTGAACATTAATAGAATATCACCTCCATCTTCAGAGCAATCTGACTATTATAACATTAGCGTTAAGAAAGCTTACTTAAATATCTGCCACAACATAAGTAACCGGATCAGAGTAACATTAAGTAGGCCTACAGTCCGCGGCATATCACTTCATAATGTATCATATATCTCCTTATCTGAGTCAGCTGAGCCGTATCTGGCCGTGCAACACTCAGTGTCACAGACTGTATGCAGAAGTATTATTTTAAGCAACACATTAAGTTGAGGAAACACTCGAGTCAAATGTAATGAAAGTCAGATCCACTCGTGTCTTAGACGGGGCAGTGATATCATAAACCTGTTAATGTACGCATTCAAACACTTGTTCTGTTACCAGCTGTATTCACCTTGCAGGTGCAGCTCTGTGGCTTTGATCCTGGATAAAGTGTTTAAGTCATGGATGTTTAAAGTTTAACTTCTTCATATGTCTAATATTATAGTTGACTTTTCATTCAGGAAGTATGACGCTGCGCTGTCAGTACGCTTCTCCATGTTTGTAATTGGTCGAATGCTCCAGATACCACCCCTCTCATGTGAACGCGCACCTAACTAGATAGGACACGGCTGGCTTGAGCGATCCACTTGATAACCTGCGGCGTAGTACAGTTTAGCGAGAGCGCGTTTGTTTTGGATTAGGCCAACCGGCTAACTCAAACATATCCAGGTTAGGTTGAACTAGATTCGTAGTACAGGCCTCAGGTTTCAGACAACGTTGTGTAACCTTGTCTTTATTGGGATTCAGGTCCAATAAAGAGTCTAAAACTAGAGTCACATTTTGATCACATGCTCTTAATAATATGAATTTATGCTGTAACTGTAACAAATACTAGTTACAGTTAATCAAGTACAAATAGTTTCTACACTGCTTAAAAAGATGAATGTATTACTGTATTCATAATGAAGTGCACTCAGTCAGCTCAGTGGTGTGTTGCTATGCCTTCCAATGCCTTTCAAATATTTCAGATATGTGAAAATATGAAGAGTATTATGTGTAGTGTAGTAAAGATTGCTGATAGAAAACACGACACATTCTGCAATATGACTTCAAGTCAATTTAAGTGTCAGCCAAATATTTATGGACCAAGATATTTTCTCTTTAAGGTGTGATCGCTTCAGGTTGTAACATAAATATATAGAATGAAAGAACTGCGCTTTATCACACATGTGTTAAACACACATCAAAGGATGTGTGTTTAATATGATCTTACCTATAAACAAAGTCATAGTTTGAATCCATGCTGTGTTTTGTACGAGTTTCAGGTTGTGCTAAATGAATATTTGATATGTTTAGGACTGATTTCAAGCAGACTGATATTCTACCACTGACCAAACGCCTTGTAAACCCAAGATATGAACTGGATGTGAGTTCTAATCTCTGTTCAACTCCATATTCACAACAGATTGTCGCTGATCTTATCATAACTCCCTTCTTGCACTATGTTATCATTGTTTATGAACAATAACATTTAATCATCCTCGTCTCGGTTTGAAATCATCATCAATAGTCAATCAAACTGTCTGTACATGGAAACGCTGTTGTAACATTCATTGTGCAAACACTATCAAATAATAAAAGCTGTTTTACTACTCAACTTTTTTCCTGATGCAATCAAATGTTGTACAGAGTGACTTTATGCAGGCTCCAGAACTCTAACAGTGAACCCTAAGGACAGTGTGAGCCTTACATAACGCTGCACCTGACCTGAAGGGCCACCAACAGAACTGATACAAGATTCATCGTTCTCTTTCCCACCTGTCACTTGTAGAGCTCCTCAGGAGAGCCAATCACAGGGGAGCTTTTCTGACAGGGAAACAAAAGTGTTTGCTAAATAGTACAATCAAATCATTTAATACTATTTATTAAATGTTTTCTCGCTGAATGTTGGAGCTTAACATTAGTGTGTGTTGTTGTTTAGTAACTTTGAGGGATTTAATGTGCCCTCACATTGCGTCTTTAGATATTAAATGACATTTTAAAGTTCCTTGGGTGGCAGGAGAACTCATGAGAATTCATACTGAGCAGAAATAAACTGCTGAGTATAAAGCCAATATCTTACAAATATATATTTTTTCTAATTAATAAATCCCCCACAATCCTTTGTAGCAGATTATTTTCTGGGTCTGTCTTTTATATTTCAAATGTTATATTATTACAAAGAGTTCCGGTGTTTACGTTTCTTTCAGTTTCCCAGCACACCATGCAGAGATATGAACTTTGCTAGCACCGGCTTAACTTATAATTAGTATCAATCATTATATGAATAATATATGAAGTATTTTCTGAAACTTTCCAGGATATACAGATTATAAGAAATGATGGACCCATGAATAAAATGTGCGCATCAGATCAGAGGTATCAGGGACATATTTATCCCACAGCGTGCACTATTTGTATTGTCTAGTGCAGGGGTGGGGAACCTCCGGCCCTCGAGGTAATTTATAAATACTCGCAAAAAAGAAAAAAATTAAAGAAATCTAGACCGCAAAATAATTAAACAAGTGAGTGCCTGTTTTTCCTGGCCAAGGTCAGGGTCCCTGAACACAACACAAGCCTAACGTGTCATCACGTGGTATATGTCTCGTCTGACAGGGGTGTAGTTCTGACGGGGAGCACCAGAACGCAGCTCCGCTCCGGCACTTCCAAAAATTGCAGTACCCATAAGGAGCGCTGTGTCTTAGTTGAAAGCCCAGTGGCGATCTGCTCATCTGTCATACTGATCATACAGTTAATAACTTTGTTGTTATTAGCATCTGGTTAGCTAGCTATGCTAACGAATATAAGAAGCTTTTTCTACAACCAGTGAGGTAAAGGCCCATCTTTATATGATCATTATAGTTATAAAAAAATAAGAGAATAAAGTAAACACGTATAAAATACTATATGACAGTAAAAAAAAGTTGTTATTAATAAACAAGAATACAGTTTGAAAGGGGAGTGATTTGTAAAATATCCATAAAGAAAAAGAAAATCTGCTTACAGTTCTGTTTCATCTGGGTGTTGAGAGATGTATCCATAGATCTACTAATGTTGCTCTCAAATTGCACCAGATTGATGCTTTTAACTTCAACATTTAAAAAAAAATCTTCCCGGACCCCCCTGGAGGTTAGGTCCCCCCCACTTAAATCATGTTCACATGGATAGGAGTCTAAATACATTTGCACACATCGTGTGTCCATATCTTTCTGTTTGGTGGTCATGCTACAACTCTGCACGTGCATGCATGAGTCATGGTGAGATATCTGGATTAAGAGGTTGCTTTTTCTTTGCACAGCATGAAAGAAAGGTGAAATAAGTGGGCTGTGATTTTAGTATTTTTAAGCAGAGGTCAATAATTTGTACGGCCCTCGGAGGATGGCCCTTGAGAGGAAAAAGGTTCCCCACCCCTGGTGCATCCTTTAGGAACCTGTGACCCACGACATTAAACCTCTCTACTGAGAGCATCCCCACTCTCATACATCAAAGTACTGTGGAGTGCAGACAGCCTGCAGGATCAGGGGTCTGCAGGCTGGATGCTCAGCAGGCTGTGTGTGAGCGGCAGGGTGAAGAGCCTCTCCTCCGGCTCCTGCTGGGCGCTGTGCTCCACCCGGCACCTGAACCTGGAGCCCCGGTCCTGCTTGGTGGGGGTGAGTTTGAGGAAAGTGTACATGGAGTAGAGGCCGTTGATGTTGAGGCTCGGGGGGGTGTTGAAAGAGGGAACCTCCTCTCCATCTTTAGTCCAGGTCACTGACACGTCTCAGGACAGAAGTCTTTGAGGCACAGCTGCAGAGTGCAGTCCCCCCCCAGCAGGGGGCACGGCGGCTCGCAGTCGATGAACATCACGTCAGGAGGAGTCCCTGTGGGGGGGGGGTTTCTCTTTTAGCATGGATACTTTCCACATTCATTTCTCTCTCTCTCTCACTTTCTCTCTCTCTCTCTCTCTCTCTCTCTCTCATCTCTCTCTATCTCTCTCTCTCTCTCTCTCTCTCTCTCTCTCTCTCTCTCTCTCTCTCTCTCTCTCTCTCTCTCTCTCTCTCTATCTCTCTCTCTCTCTCTCTCTCAGTATAAAAGGAAATTACTCAGGTGAAGTACAAGTACCTAAAAAACGTAAGTACAGTACTAGAGTAAATGTAATGAGTTGCTTTCCACCACTGTAGGAAGTCAACAGAAGCTGGTTTGCTCAAACCAACAGTAAGAGGTTAGGTGGAGTTACCTTGAGTGTTGATGTGGTACAGGGCGTCCTTGTACCCCGGAGCAGGGAAGCTGGAGTGGTAGACCCGGCAGCTGTAGACGGCCCTCTCGTCCTCTCTGGCCATGAGCAGCTGGATCTTACTCCACAGGCTGTACAGCCGGGTGTGGTCCGAGAAAGGTCCGAAGTGTGTGACCCCACAGACCGGCTCCCCGTCGTTCCTGGACCACTCCAGGTCCACCTCCTGGGGGTAGAAGTTCTCCAGCCGACAGCAAAGCACCAGGCTCCTCTCCACCTTGGGGATCTGAGGGATGCTGGTGATCTGGAGGAAAGACGGCTCCACTGCAGGGGTGACAGTGTGGTGAGAGGGGGGGCAGCCGTGTCATTCACAGGAGGAGAGAATAAAGCTCAGAACATAACTATACATCTGTTACAGCCGCTGCTACCTTGTGCCCTTAACTCTGTTGGTGTGTGTGTGGATGCAAATGAGCTGTGCAGTTCCTATGCTGTCAGTGGCCGTCTCGACCTCGCAACATCCGCGGGGATTGAACAGACGTCACCCAAGCCCTGCCCGCTTCTGCCACGTCATCCGGGGGAGGAGTATAAAGGCTGGGCACGGATACCATTCGGGAGGCTCTGTATTGTGTGACAGACGCCTCAAAACTCTCATTGTGACAAAGCCATTTTCTGTGATTCTTAAGACTGCCTAGCAGTGTGTATTCTGTAGGGTTCTGTGCGAGCACACTGATTAGCAGTGTGTCCTAGTATTCTGTGTCTAGTATAAGGTTTGTGTGTGTGTGTTGCCTAGATCCAGGTTAGCTTAGCGCCTGTAGATCAGCATTTGTGAACATATTGCTTAGACCCCGGTGATTAGCACCGGTTGATCAGCAACAGCTGCGTTTCCACACAGCCTCGTTTTGATTATTGTTTTGTTCCACTTTAGAAGTGAGGTACTTTCTTTTCCTTTTGTATACCCTGGTGCTACTCTCTTTTGGAGTGCTCCTTTTGTTAACCAGTAACAGTTTGGCCCTTTGTTGGTGTCAAAACTGTTTGTGTACATTCTGGTGTTTATCATTTTTAGTTACAAATAAACCACCGGTAACAATTACCAATTCCAAACTGGTCGTGTCGTTTCCCTTTGTACCCCTAGCCAAGAGGGAACGTAACACCATCTGTTGAACAATGACTGCTTTTCAGGTGAAGGGTTTCCAAGAGAACTAGTTTTGAGGTTTAAGGACAACAGGTGAAAGGATGACCTTAACGCTCCTTAAGCAGCTGCATTTTTTGCTGAAAGGATCTTGACCAAGTGAACTTGTCTCGCTGATATATTCTTGCATTATGCACATATTTATGTATAAGTTTCCTTCATGACAGCCTGTGACTTCAATTCAAGTCAATCAATTATTTTAAATAACAATGTGTCAAATGACAAACTGAAAACAATGTGAAAGAAGTAGCTCATAGAAGCCACACACAAAGGCACCAATACAAAGTAATGTTTGGGATACAGTTATTTAGAAATGATTACAATACTGAATCAAAGTATATCGTAGAATGCTCCCTAGTTGCTGCTGTTACAGAACGCTCCACCTCCTCACCTTTCACCCGGACTGTGGTCACTCTGGTGATGCTCTGGCCCCTGCACAGCACCTCACACTGGTACTGGGTCCGGTCCTCAGAGACGGTCAGACACACGGTCAGGACGGATGTGTGGTGTTCACAGTCTGACAGCAGACAGGCCTGGTCACTCAGATCCCCCCCGCCCAGCAGAGAGCCCCCCTCTGACAGCTCCTCTGAGCCTGCACTGAGTTTAGACTACCTCACTCTGAGCTCCCGCTGTCCAGCTCCTCTGATGGTGCATCTGAGGTCCGTCTGCACCTGAGCATAGACGATGCTGGGTTTGCTGATCTCAGAAACACTTGGTGGAGCTGAGGAGAAATAGGAATGTTGTTGCACAGATAAGACAAAGACAGCGGGTTTTCTTTTCATTCGGAAAGTGTGTCGAACTTGGATCATTTATTATAGAGGAGAATAACGCCTCTACAATCAATAAACCCTCCCCCCACGTTGTTCTGATGGCTCAGGCATCATCAATGAAATGAAGTTCTGGGAAGAATTATGATGAGAAACGCCCACTTGTATTGTACACCCTGGTTTGTCCTTATATTTGAAATGTAAACATTTAATAAGCTTATCATATGTTTAAAACATAACCCCACTCTGCGAAGGAGCCTTAAGATGAAGGTTATGAAATTAAAAGTACAAGAATTCCCTCAGAAATATTGTTAGGTAACAAAACATTCTGACAAAAGGGATGAAGAGGATGTAAGTAAATCTTCTTTGTGGGCAAATTCCAGTCCTTTTTTCTAGAGAGTAACTTAAACCCAGGCAGAAGGTAAATGCCCTCTGGTGGAGGTTTCCGGTGTGTTGGACCACTGAGATATTTCAGGAAGATTTGCATTGGAATGAATTTGGGTTGAAATGTCTTCCATCCGTAGCGACTTCAGGAAACCAACAGAAGTCGCTCAGAGGCTGAAGTCAGCCGTGCCTTTGTCTGACATGCAACAAAAATGAGTTGCTGAGATCAAAAAATGCATTCAACAAAATGTTGATTTAATTAACAAATTATAAAGTGCAAAAACATGTGGTCCTTTTCACCCTCTCTTCCACACACACCTCACACAGGTCAACAGCTGATATATTGTCCAAGAGTTCCGCCCATACTCATGTGAGCCAACTGATCCAACCCATAATGAATCAGAAAAATAAAGAAATAATGATGTTATAAAGAAAGACCAATACTAAAATGTAAACAATCAAAAACCTACAGAAATCACCACTCTGTTCCTACTCCATGGACAACCCTTATTGAAGTGAACATAATAATATGTGCTATAACAATCTCCATAATACCTATTATCATCACATCCACACTCTCACTTCAAACTCAGGCTCGACTTGTTGAACAGTTTAAAGAGTAAACATGCACTTTGGTTATACTGAGACATACCCTTACACAGATAGGCGTAGAGAAGCAGAGCTCCTCCGATGGCGGCGCTGACCAGCAGCAGACTGGTGACACTGGTGAGAGCTATCAGGGTGACGTCACTGTACACAGGCTGGGGTGGAGCTGCAGGGGAAAGGGATGGAGAGATATATATAACATATAATAAATGTGTATTTGAGTAGGAAACATTAAAGGTTAAATGAGTCTACATGATGACAGAAAGAAGAAAAAGCAGCACCCTGAACAGTCAGTGTGACAGACGTGTTGTACGGCCGGCTGTAGGTCTTGTGCTCCACCTGGCACATGAGGCTCATCTCTCCACCCTTCACTGCTGACGAGTGCATGGTGATGCCACTGCGGATGCTGAAGGTGCCATCTGCATTGTGAATGGCCATTTCGGTGCAGACGCGGGAGAGGGGGCTTAACCCTGCGAGCACAGTGCGGGAGCCGTTCAGGATTAGCCACGTCACGGCCAGCTTCTCTGGATAGAATCCTGTGATGTCACACTGTATCGTCTTCTCCTCCCCCTCCGTCACTGCTGCCTTCTCTGGGAGCAACACTGAAGGCCGCGCTGGGGGCGGGAGCAAAAACATTACATTGTCATTTTTGGGTGGGGTCTTACTCCCTAAAATGTAACATAAAAAACGTCTCTTTCTGGGAGGAAACTTTGAAGCACGCTGCTGTGGTAGACATATTGTGATGAAAATATTATCAATGAAACAGAACGTTATAAGTTGGTGGCAGAAGTACTCAGATTGTTATGGCCTAGAGATATTGGACTCCAAAGCAAAAGACTTAGAGAGAGAGATGGTCAAAAACAAAAAGTGTATTTTAAGCAGAGGCACAGGAAGCTGGCTGGCACGGAGACAGAGAGGACAGGAGACCGGAAGTGGCATGAGGACCGGGCTTTTATGTCAACAGGTTGAAGAGGTGAGTGAAAGGTGTGCCTGGTCTGCTGCTGGGAGGAGCCAGCCAACTCCCTGTCACACTGAGAAAACAGAGAAGGGAGGGGGAGACAGAAGAACACACACAAAAAGCACACAACAAAACTAAACAGAATCATCACACAGATCTTGTACTTGAGTAAAAGTTGAGTAGGAATACTCTGTTACAAGTAAAAGTACTGCATTCAAAATGTTACTCAAGTAAAAGTACTGCATTCAAAATGTTACTCAAGTAAAAGTAGAAAAGTATTCTCATCAAAATATAGTGAAAGTAGCGACAGTAAAAGTAGTCGTTGTGCAGATTGGTCCATTTCAGAATAATATATATGATATGTTTTATAATGATTGATCATGAAAGTGTTCTCAAAGCTGGTGAAGGTGCAGCTAGTTTGAATAACTTTGTATACTGCAGGGTAGCTGGTGGATTTACTCCAGTACCCCCCCCCCCCCCCCCCCCTACTTAGTTACTTCCCACCTTTTGTTGGGGGAGACCAACAAATTAATTAAGTGAAATTAATATTGTGATAAAGTGTCACTATTGTGTTGGAAGCTGTTATCATGACGACAGTTGCCAAAACATTTCTGTACAGAAAATATAAATCTAATGTCAGCAGCCAGTTAGCTTAGCTTAGCATAACAAATGGAAACATGGGTAAACTGTGATAGCTTGTGGATTGTGTCACCTTTGGACAGAGCCAGGGAAGGCTAGCTCAACTTTCTACGTGTCAAGCTAAGCTAACCAGTTGATAGATAACTGTAGGCCTATCTTTAATGCAGTGAAAGGGTACTATCAATCTTCTATTTGAACTCTCAGCAAGACAGCAAAAAACATATTCCCAAAATGTTGAACTACTTATTTAATTAATTGATATGTTAGCAGTGTGAAGCCAAACAATATAGATCAGTAATAAACCATAAACACTGCAACCACAACTGCAACACATAGGCTACCAGGTATAATTTATAACTTCACAATTGGCTATAAAAAGCAGTATGGGTAATTCTGTTGGCACAAAGCCTCCATAACAGAAATCTAACATGCAACAAAAACTGCCGCAAGCAATCTGAGACATTTGGAGGGAGCTCTGTGACGGTGTTTCAAGGAGCAGAACATGTTGTGGTAGCGTGCGTGACACAGATCAGAGTAAATACCCAGCACTTCCAGTGAGGTGGTCTCTGTGTAGACCACAGGGGTGATGATTCTGCAGGAGTACAGCCCTTCATCTCCCACAGTCACATTGTGGAGCTGCAGAGAAGCATCACTCTGTAGCAGCTGCATTCTGTCCACCTCAGAGCCCTCTCTGTTCACATGCGCTCTTCCATCCTCAAAGGTGTACACTACGCTCTTCTCTGCATGTGTATCCACCACGTTCCACTCAACGGTGAGAGCGCTCCACTCCACCAGCCTGGACAGCTTATCAAACAGGCAGCCCAGAGTCACATCTGCCCCCACCAACACACTGAGCTGCCGGGTAGTGTCAGATGAGGAGCCTGGAAACATGAGTGAAGTTAGCAAAATAAAAACAGTCAAATAAACTGCACAAGAGAAACAGCTTCCTTCTGAAACAATGCTGCTTACCTCCACAGTGGCAGACAATAAGCATTACTTTAATCATCACTTTCATATTCTGTAGGTGCTGCATTTGGACGATGTCAGAACATTATGAAGTACAGTGTTCGCACAGCTCAAAGGCATTCCCTGGACTGAGGGTCACGTGGTAGCTGTGTGAGGATCATGTTCAGTAGGGCTGGGCGGTAACCATTCACCTGGTTTCTCAGAAGGTATGAATCATGGAGTGCTGTTCTAATGCACCTCCTCCTGGACTCTGACCTGGGGCTGACACCTCCTCCTGGACTCTGACCTGGGGCTGACACCTCCTCCTCATGGAGCCCAGACTCGTACTTTCATTCTTCTCCCAGTAGGACTCCTCTGCTCTCTCTCTCTTTTTTTTGTTAGAGCCGTTATCATTCAATAATGATAGAGGCCCCTGGTCTTCTTATTCTAGTGGGAATATTTCAGCAAAACATATCTAAACTTTCAAAATGCTTATGTCCAAAATCCAAAGATCTGTTATCTGTGTGCAAAATAAATGCATATGAGCTGCATATTATTCCTGGTATGATGAAGTGTTTAAAAAGGAACAGATCTCAGGAACAGCACTGATTCAGTGATTTCAGGTGAAAAGATAGGAAACTAAAACTAGGATCCACATACAGCCTACCTATAACCAGTTCAAAAGAAGAAAGGATTTGAAGTCAGGTAAATAATGTCATCATAACATATTTTCACCTGATAAGCATTACATTCCTGAATGCTTACTTTATTGTAAGCAGTGCAACAGCCTCTGAGGTCTGTGCAGCATTAGTACTAAATGTGAAAGTATCAGTAAATATGGATGAAGGTGCTGATGTATCATGCTAAATCTCACTGAGTCTGTATGTAACATTTCGCAGGTGCAAAACAACATGCTTATATCTGCCTCCCATGAGAAGAAAAAAACATTTTATTCACAACATTTTTTTATTTTATGTTGGATATTTTCTGCACAATGAAAGCTTTGTAACTATAACTGAATTGTATAAACGTGATCTCCAGAGGCCCTGAACACAGCACGGATCTTCACCCCACCATGGACCTCTTCCTCCCTCTCAACCGGACTTCCTCAAGCTTTTTAATGACCGCTGAGGACTTCTTGGATGCCGCAGCGTAGCTCTTCAGCAGCCTCTGGAACAGCGCCTCTGTGTGGGGGTGGGTACTGAGGAAGGCTTTCTCCAGCACGTACAGGTCCACCCCCTTATCCTCGGGCAGAGCGGAGATGTAGCTCAGGCCGAAGTCGATGAGGAACAGCTCCGACACCCCGTCCTCCGGACCGCATCTCAGCAGCATGTTGGAGGTGGTCAGGTCTCCGTGGATGACGTCCTCGTCGTGCATTCTGGCCAGGACCTGCCCCACCCTCTCAGCCAGCGGCTCCAGACCCTCACAGCGAGCAGACGGGGGGGAGGAGGCGATGTGGTCCCGCACAGTCGAGGAGCCCACTATCTCCTCCAGGAAAATACTGTGGGATGAGTAGTCCACAAAATAGACCACCGGGACAGATATGCCTGAGGAGAGACGACGAAGAGTTTTATTTAAAACGTGTACGTTGGCCTCTTAAGATTCAAAATCAAATAAAAAGGACCCTGTGTTTTCTAGCATCAAATCATAAGGACGTCATTATTCTACATTTCTTTATTTTCAACCAGATCAAGACCAAAAAAGTACTTGTCTGTGCATCTTTACATGACCTCTGAATCTGTGTGTGCCTATAGACAATTGGTTACTACTGAAAAACAAGGAGAAGAAGAATATAAATAATGACTGAGTGTTTTCAGTTTTCAATCTGTTAATATATAACAGTAAAAATACAGATGTCACACAGGACCAATACACATTAGGCCTGAAATACAGATGGACCACACATCCACATACACAAGGATTGTATGTGGAGGTGTCATGTCTCAGGGTTAGAGCGGCCCCAACATGTACATCTTTGGGGGGAAACTGAACAATTATTCACAGAGCTGGTAAATAAATAAAAAGAAAACAAACAGAGGACTAACTTCAGCTGTGAATAAATCCCTTTTTTGTTATATTATTTTTGCATGGTTGATTCTAAAAGAGAAGGGTTATTATTCTGCAATTTCAAGTTTGGGATGTTGTGATCTCTATTTTTCAAATGTTATAAATGTGATAATAAAAAAATCTTTATACACTATAAAGCTTTGTTTTATATCCAAGTTGTGTTCTTCCAAGACATCTGCACAGCTCCATAGTGGAACCTGAGTGGAACACAACCCACCCGTTAGTCTCTCTAACAGGCAGACAGTGATATGCAGCCCCAGCACGGAGAGCGGTGTTCACTTCTGTATTGTAGTTAGCTCAGTGAACATTTAATAAGCTACTTTTATGTAATGTTAATGAGTGGTCTGACACTGACCCCTCAGCGGTGTCAGTGTGTGGGGGGGGGGACTCGCCTGCTCGGCGGCACCGCAGCACGGAGCGGACCTCCTGCACCGTCCTGCGGTGGGTCAGCTTCTCGTCCAGCAGCGGGTGTCTGTACTGTTTCCGGAACCTTTCCTTAACAATAGTCGGCCTTCCCAGGAACCTTGCCCGGTACACTCTGGCTTCTGCTCCCTGTTTAAGTAACTCTGCTTTACTGAGGAACTCTGGGATCGCCGCCATGCTCTTCTCCAGGGCCATGTTTACTTCCGGTCTTCTTCTTCTTCTAGGCTCTGTTTGTCTGCTGCTGTGTTCTCACAGGCTCCCCCTGGCGGCCACCGATCAAGACCTGAGTGGTGAAGTCCCTCCCCTTCCGGTGGACCTCCATGGAGTAGCATGAAGCTGCAGCGTCGGAGGCTGCAGTCCATGGGCTGCAGTCTCAGGACCATGGGCTGCAGTCTCAAGACCGCACTCCTGGGACCGCACTCCCTAGTTTTTCGTGACACTGCCACCTAGACATGAATATGAACGACAACGCAGAGAGTGTGAGTAATGTGAAGTGCTTTTAAAGTTTTATTTGTTTAACATTAATAACAATTCCGGTGTCTTGAAATGAAGTGTGATAAGCTAACATTAACTATGATAGTCTTAAGGCAATACAAACAAACATCTGTTAGCTTAGGATAGCTTCTAACCGTATTAAAGGCACTAAAAACAATTATTTGTTCGCTATAGCTTTCGGCAAAATAAACAGTTTTGATTTGATTATTTGTTTAATTAAACTGTAGCGTGATTTTGGCAAGCCCAACTAGGTGTCCTACATTAATTGTTGATTTAATCACTAATTACAGTAAGAGTGTGAGTAATGTGAATCTTGTTGTTTGTTTAAAGTTAACAACTATTCTGGTGTATTGAATTGGACAGCCATACAAGCAACAAGTGCTAAATCTAATCTGTTAGCCTATGATGACTCGCTGCAAAACCAACTGTTAGCCTTTTTGTTTATTTGTTTAATGAAACCGTATGTTATGGTTATGTTATTTGACAGAGGCTTTTATCCAAAGTGACTCACAAAAAACATAAAACAACCATAATTAATTAGAATATCAATACAAATAGTTACATAGTCAGTTAAATTACTTATTACATTTTTAACAGGGTAATTAGTCATCTGTAACTTACTGCATTTAAAAAAAGTAAACTTCCCAACCCTGATCATTAATTAGTCAGCTAATTAATTAAACTTCAAAGGATGACAAAAGCATGTCAATATGATCTGTCTGTCCGCTACATTAAATCAGCAGCAGCCTAAGTTCTGTCTTCAGTGTAAATGCTTCTTTAATAGTCATTGTATTACTATTTGAATTCATTGTAAATAATCTTAACTGTGCTGACTGCCTGTTTACTGTTTATCAGACAATCTCATAATGTTGACATGTTTTGTAATATTGCATGTGGTGTTTTAGTCAGTTATTATGTCGGCCTTTTCTGTAGCTTAGAATCTGTCGTGTCAGAATCTGTCGGGTCATTCCAAAAGGAAGCCCACTTCAACTGGCTTGACAGTAAGTTTATAAAGTGTCTTTACTTCTGCCTTCTCCTATCCTAGTATTATGAAGTTGATTGACTAAGAGTAAGGTCAGCTAAATTAAGGAAGGTTTTGTTATTTTTCTGTCTGAATTGTAATTGTCTTATGACATTCTACTTCAGGTGTCGTCAACTGGAATGTCTTTACAGAGGGACACAAACAGGAATTCAGGACGGCCTACCAAATTTCCAGGTGCTTTCAATGCGACAACCTTTATAAGGACGTTGTCACAGGCTAGCGGGGAAGTGGACGGCGAGGAATGTTACAGGGTTTTTACTCAGAAGAGGGCTTCCCGGGGTACTGCAGCTGTAGCTGTTGTCTGGTGGCTGAGGGAACAGCAGACCCCGCCTCACCCCAGTGAAGAATCCTCAGTGTGGAAATTGTGCCCAATAAATAAAAATGTATTCTGCACTGAAATGCCTCTCGGTCAAATTGCATGTTTATCTTTTGCAGCCTGGTGCATAAACACACTAACAGTTGTTTTTGAGTAATCTAGCACCTCTTCAAAGACACATTTGATTCGATTTATTTCGAACGTGTAATACAATAAAAAATTATAATAATGAAATGAAACAAGAGAATTATGATGTTGTAGAAACATAAGCAGTATCAAATTGATAAACTAAATATTATTTACTTACAAATTATATATAAACAAATGATCTACCTAATTACACATCCGAAAAGGCGTGGGAATGAGTTTACACTCATTTAACCCCACCTCTTTTCCCAAAAACTAAATTAGCAGTTTTGTTTTAACAAAATATACATCTAAATGTATGTCTACATACAATATATATTTACAATTATAAATAGATTATATCATGATTACTACAATATATATATATTTACATTGTATGTCAAATTTGATAAGACAAATATAAAAGACTATCTTTTTACATCTGACATTCAAAATACATTTGTTATTAAAAAACTTAAAAAATATTAACAACAAATTGTAATAATTTAATTTCAGTAAAAAACATATTTTCATGCATTTTTAGATGGTTAATAACAAGCATTACAATGTTTAAAGAGACTCGCTGTGTATGAGACTCAATACTCGCTGGTTGTACTTTTGCGGTCATCCAATTCGCTGGGTGGCGATGTTGCAAAACAACTAGGGTCCCGGGAGTGCGGTCCTGAGACTGCAGCCTCCGACGCTGCAAAAAAATATGTATTGAAGTCAATGGAGAGAGAAGGATTATCTTTCGATCCCGTTTGAATTGTGCCACGAATTACACATATGATGTTTGTCAATTTAAAAGATAATTTTGCAAGTCAAAAAAATAAAAATGTGTCGTAAAACTGTGAAGTAACACATGTTTTTGTGTGAAACTCTCAATGAACTACATCTCTTGCACAACAACACACGTCACCAAGATGGCCGTCACTACTGTCTTGCTAAACAAGGGATTGACAACCCTCACTATCACCACGTCCAGAAGAATGTCATGCAAAGCTGCCTGCCTTCCTTTGATTCTCTCTGAACTGCCTGATCTTTTTAATGTTTAATGTCAACCATTTGTGCAGATAGCATGAAGTAGGATCGCCGATGCTAATGTAGCGTTAGCGTTAGCATTTCTCCCCCGGGCTTAAATTGTGTATTATATAATGATCACACCGGTGTGACAGTAGGCCTACTCTTCAAAGGGTTCACGAAATATGACTACTACTCTTACTGTTTAACATTTTGGGTTACTTAATGTTACTTCATGTTAAGGCTAATAAAAATGACAAGGCTAAGCCGACTGTAATGCTAACTAACGTGCTTGCTACTAGCTATAGCTAACTTGATCGCTCTGTGTTGCGCTGTCATTGGAGGCAGTCGCAATTTCTACAGGCTCGCACTTACCTGTTAGCATCTGTTAGCATCTAGTTCTCCTGCTTACAAACGTTTAGCCATCCCTGCTTATACAAGTAGTAGTTTTAGTTGTCTGCGATCTGCGGAGGCCTACTCGTCCCACCTGTCGAGTGCGGCTGTACTGAGGTGTTTTTCCTCCGGAGACGGAGCGGCTCAACCTGTTGCTGCATGCGATCTGCGATCTGCGATCTACGGAGGCCTGCTCCCACCTGTAGAATACGGCTGTACTGGAGAGGTTTTTACCCCGGAGTCGTCGCGGAGAGACGGAGTGGATCCACGCTTCGGGCTTGGCCTGCTTCCACCGGGCGTGTGCTGCTGTGCGGAGGAGGATTTTACCACCGCTGGGGCCTGCTTTCCACCTGTCCTGGTTCTGCTGTTGCAGAGGCCTGCTTTCACCCCGGGGATACCACGGAGGGACCGGAGCGCTTCCACGCTGCTGTTTTCGCCTGTCCTTTGCTGCTGTGCTGATTTTGCTCCAGGAACATCGCGGATACTGTGTGCTGGTCTGGGAAAATGGCCCATATCGGGATTCTGCTGTGCCTGTTAACTGTTTTGGACTATGAGAAGATCTCTAGTCATTCTGAGAAGACTACTGGATTCAGGTCTGTTCTGCCACCCGCAGTGGGCATCCCCTGCAAAGGTTCGGATGTGTTGCTCAAACTATTACCGGTTGCCTTGTCACAGACAATCTGCTCGACAAAATATGTTTGTCTTTTTTGTTTTCCTGCGATGATGGTTCTTCAGGACTGCTTCTTAAGCTCAAATCACACTCTCGCAGACTTTTCCGGTGTTTCTAAATTAGATGACAATGCAGGGTCGGCGTCATGGGGGGTCATTCGCGGGCCATGCCCCCCCAAATGAGTCACTGTGCCCCCCCAACGCAGGGTGGGCAAGCCTTGTCACTTTGCCGATTTTTTCTTTTTTTTATCATATAGGCTAAGTGAAAACGTTTCCACTAAAGGTTTTTTGTGTGAAATACATCAGAAATAAATTATACAAATATAAAACACAGCCTGAGGTGTGCTCACTGCTGCTCTCTGATTGGTGTGTTGCTTGACCAATGACCCCCGACCTTTTTTTTGTTATCATTACGTGGCTGAGTGTTTAGATGAAAGCCCAGTGGCGATCTGTTCATCTGTTATACTGATTATACAGTAAAGCCATCGAAAATAATATGATATACAGTACAGTACAAGTACATGGGTCTCTGTGTTTCATTCAAGCTCTGTGTGTGTGTGGCACGAGCGCATTTTGTGAGTGCGCGAGCGGTAACGTGGAATGTTGTGGTTAGCATCTGGTTAGCTAGCTATGCTAACGGATATAAAGGGCTGTTTCTACACCAAGGTGGAGGAGAGTCCTCTCCTGTCAGACTGAGAGGATCTTATAACGTCAGCTCAGTGAGGTAAGGACTCTCTCAGTGTTTAGATAGTTCACTTTAGTGTAAGTTATCTCAGTGGGTCTCAAACGGTTTGGTCACAATTTATGTAAGTATTTTCGAGGAATACCTTTATATGATCATTATAGTTATTAAAGAGAGAATAAATGAAAAACGGGTACGAAATACTATAGGACAGTAACACAAGAATACAGTTTAAAAGGGGAATGATTAGTGAAATATCCATAAAGAAAAAGTAAATCTGTGTACAGTTCTGTTTCATATGGATGCTGAGAGATGTAGGCTATCCATAGATCTCTTCACTTTGCTCTCAAAGTGCACCAGATTGATGCATTTAACTTCAATATTTTAAAAATAATCTTCCCGGGGGAGCATGCCCCCAGACCCTCCTAGAGGAGGTTAGGTCCACCCCCACCTAAAACATGTTCACATGGATAGGATACTAAATACATTTGCACACTTTTTATATGATGGCC